TACCCGGGTGATGGGGGCTCAGGTGCCGGGACTGAGGGGAGCGGGGGGCTGGGTTGGGGGACAGGGCATTTTTGACTTGCTGCCACACGCGGCTTTAGCAGTGCCTGGCGCAGCTTTGGGATCCTTGCGGGGGAGCTGCCCGTGTTCCGGGTTCAGGGCAAGACGAGCCTCCCCTGAGGGATGATTTCTGTTTGAGAAGTAATTGGGGGCATCTTGCTTTTCTGTCTCCTCCCTCAGCTCACCCTTCTGGGGAGGTCATGCCCCAATGGCTGAAGGGGTTGGCCTTCTGGCATCACGCTTCCTTAAGTTTGTGGAAAAGACTGGTCATATAACAGTGGTAGAGATGTAGCCGTGTTAGTCTGGGGGAGCTGAAGCAAAAAGCAGGCTAATATAACACGCCCACGAAAGCTCATCATCTAATAAACCATCTTGTTAGTCTTTAAAGTGCTACATTGTCCTGCATTTTGGTCATATAACATTTCTGATAAGCTCTGTGCTTGCGGGATCCATTCCTTTCACTGTTTCACGGCCTTAGCTCCTGCAGACCCGAAAGATGGCAAGGATATGGATACTTGGTAGTTGACATGGCTATCACATTTTGTTTGTACCCGTTCTCGGGGCTAAGGTTTTGACTCTGCTGATGTTAGTGTGTTTTCTTAATTTAAATGACTGTTTCTTACTGTTATAAAAAAAAAGCAGAAGGTTGGGGTAAGGAGAACTAGTTACACATATAACTACAAAAAACAGTCAGATATTACATGGAAATACTGTAGTTTAAGTATGTATAAATACTGAAACAGAAGGAAAAAAGAGTAAAAAAAAAAAAAAAAAAAAGTCTGTCCTGTCTTGCACCTAGGCTGTGCCTAGACTGGCCAGTTTTTCCAGAAAATCAGCCGCTTTTCCAGAAAAACTTGCCAGCTGTCTACACTGGCGGCTTGAATTTCCGCAAAAGCACTGACTTCCTACTGTAAGAAATCAGTGCTGCTTGCGGAAATACTATTCTGCTCCCGTTCAGGCAAAAGTCCCTTTTGCGCAAAAGGGCCAGTGTAGACAGCTCAGATTTGTTTTCCGCAAAAAAGCCCCGATCATGAAAATGGTAATCGGGGCTTTTTTGCGGAAAAGCGTGCCAATCTAGACACAGGCGCTTTTCCGCAAAAAGTGCTTTGCGGAAAAGCGTCTGTGCCAATTTAGACGCTCTGTTCCGAAAATGCTTTTAACGGAAAACTTTTCCATTAAAAGCATTTCTGGAAAATCATGCCAATCTAGACACGGCCCTAATGTATTTATTTACAGTGATGCGATAAGTGTATACTAATCTGATCAGGTAGCATTTTACAGCTATGATGCACAAGTGTAGATTGCTACCAGAGGTTGAAAAGAGGAAGAGAATCAAATTTTTTTTCTTATGTATTTATAACAGTAGCGCAGGGGTAAGCAATAATTTTTACATGGGGTACTTTATGATTTTTGGCACTAGTCAGGGCTGGCTCCACCCCCTGGAAGGGGCAGGGCCAGGGCAGAAGGGACCAGGGTGAGGCCAGAGGCTTTGAAATAAAAACATAGCAAAGGGCTTGCAGCTCCTGTCCCCACCGCTATTGCATTGCCTTGGGTTGCTGCACCTATTTAAAAAGCTTGCGACTCTAGCTCCTGCCAGGGTAGTGCTGTGACCTGGAGCCATGAGTAATTTAAATAGCATCCTGCTGCCTGAGCCACTACCTGGAAATTTGGTGGCACAGGCAGCAGGATATAAATAGAAAGCGGCCAGATGCACTCCGCAGGCCGGATCTGGTCCCTGGGCTGCATCTTGCCCAGCCCTACAGTAGTGTCTAGAGCAGTGGTAGGCAATCTGGTGCCCAAGGGCTGTATGCAGCCCATTGGGCTTCTATGTGTGATCCACAAGACATTTTGTTTACGGCTGCCCATGCGCAGGGTTGCCAGATTCCACTAATTGCCGTCTGTGTAGATTATTTTCAAGCCCATATTACTAAAGTGACATGCACATGAAGTGAAATGTATTCTGATTGTACACGACTGCAAGAGCTGTGCATTCCCTCTGCATCCAGTCAAAGTGCTGCTATAGTTCAGTTGGTACATCCTGCAAATCTAGGTATGCAAGCACAATTAACAAACTACCCTGTCTCGGGACATCGTTTTGCTTATGACTATCTTGCGACACATTAATGTGAAGCAGGGCAACTCTTGCAGCCCACTCACTGGCCTAGAGGCTTCATATCAATACTGGGGCACCATCATGCTACATGCTTTGCTATATAGTGAAAGAGCCACTATGCCAAAGAGCTTGCAGTCTTAATAAGATGGAGCAAAAGAAAAATATTTTAAAAACTAATTATTATAAAAAATATTTTTCTTCATCTAAACTTGTTTTTAGAAGTCTTACTAACACCATCTCTTAGAATACAAGATCAACTTCAAGATGTCCATTGGGTGTCTGTTCAGACTAAGGATGTTAAGGAGCAGGTATTTGGCTAATCATGTAGTCCATACAATTTGTATTGAACTACACGATTAGTCGATAAGGGGAAGCGCTCTGCAGAGCTGCCGCGGGGGTAGTTCCTGGAGCGAGCCGGGACTGAACAGTCCTGCCTTGTGTTGGCTTTGGGACCACTGCGGCTCTGCCTTTTAAATGTAGTAAGAACCACCCAGCTCTTACTACATTTAAAATGAAGAGCCACAGTGGTCTTGGACTGGTGTGAGGCTCACTGAAGCCTGAGGCTGCTCTGTTAGGAACCCCTGTCTGTGTCCAGCCCCCACAGGACTCGGCTGTTGGATTAGCCTGTGCTCGCAGTGAGGCGGCAGCAGGTAGAAAGGGGGAAGGCAGTATCGCAGAGATGGTGCTGGGGGGAACCGACTTTTAAGCCAGCTCCCCCGGCACCCAGTTCCTGATACAAAGGCAGCAAGGCAGGGCGGGTGGGAGGGCAGTGAATAGTTGGGTGCTCAACTACTCGCTTACGTCCCTAGTTCAGAATCCTTGGACTCCTCATCTCTTTATTCTTTCAAGAAGAAAGGTTTAGCTCAAGACTACAATCTTTATTATCTTCAGAGGGGTTAGTTTGTTAGTCTGTAACAGGAAAAAATTAAGAAACAACAAATAGTCTAGTAGCACCTTAAAGAATAACAAAACATTAGTTGGGTGCTCAACTACTCGCTTACGTCCCTAGTTCAGAATCCTTGGACTCCTCATCTCTTTATTCTTTCAAGAAGAAAGGTTTAGCTCAAGACTACAATCTTTATTATCTTCAGAGGGGTTAGTTTGTTAGTCTGTAACAGGAAAAAATTAAGAAACAACAAATAGTCTAGTAGCACCTTAAAGAATAACAAAACATGTAGATTTTTATTATGTTATTCGAAGTACATCTCTTTTAACCTTCCATCACTCTGGTAGGTTTATTTATCATCATTTTAGTATTAAAGGGCTTCCATCTCTCATCTGTAGTTTAGGAGCAGTTAGTCTGGGAAATTATTTTTGGCCTCGGGCCACTTCCCCACCTCTCCTTTTTCCCCCCACTAGGCACCCATGCCCCTGTTAGGGTGGGAAGAAGCTTTGCATGCTCTGCACCCATGCCCCTGGTAGGGGGAAGAGGCTGCGTATGCTCCTCCACCCCCAGGCCAATCACGACTTGAGGGAAGACAAGCTGCACACAAAGCTTCCTTCACCCTGCCTCTGCCCTGTGTGAGTGTACAGCACTTTGAAGGGCCATATGCTCTTCTCAGGGTGGAGGAGGGAGAGTGCGGAGGAAACTTTACTTGGGTTCAGGGGGCACCTGACGTCTCCTCTGGCACTGCGGGGAGCGCATGGCGCATTGGAGTGCATGGTGTTTCAAAGCACTGCATGCTGCTAGCAGGGTGTGAGGAAGCTTCACACTCCCCTGCCCCCAGGTCCTAATTGGCTTGGGAGTGGGGGAGCGGCAGGGCCTCCACGGGCTGGATCAACCCGCTTGGTGGGCTGAATCCAGCCTGCGGAAGCCCTTTTTCCCACCCCTGAGTTAGTCCCTTGAAAAATCCTTCATTATACTTTTGTTGCCATAATAAAATCATCAGTGCATCTACTGAAACTATCATGAGGCTGGAATCTCTTACATTATACATATTGGCTGTGTCTACACTGGGCCACTTACTCCGGAAAATCAGCCGCTTTTCCGGAATAAGCTGCAAGCTGTCTACACTGGCCCTTGAATTTCCGGAAAAGCAACGATGCTCTACTGTACAAAATCAGCCGCTATTCCGGAAAAACTGTTCTGCTCCCGCTCGGGCATAAGTCCTTATTCCGGAACACTGTTCTGGAAAAGGGCCAGTGTAGACAGTCCAGTAGTCTTTTCCGGAAAAAAGCCCCAATCGCAAAAATGGCGATCAGGGCTCTTTTCCGGAAAAGCGCGTCTACATTGGCCACAGATGCTTTTCTGGAAAAAGGGCTTTTCCGGAAAAGCAGCCTGCCAATGTAGATGCTCCTTTTCCGGAAAAACTGAAAACGGAATAGTATTCTGTTTTAAGCAATTCCGGAAATTCATGCCAGTGTAGACACAGCCATTACGTTAAAAGGGGGAAGAGGTTGTTCTCAGAGATAACCCAGAATGTAAAAGAGGGAAATAGCCTCACTCAGTGAATCTTTGCCAGTAAGACCATATGATAGTTTTATTTCTTCGCCTTGGTGCATTTTCAGATTTGTAATATGTTGTGAAATTGATGCATTCTTAGGCAGCATTAGAAACTACAAATACAAAGCATGTTTTGGCTTTATGGATGTCAGTTCTAATTTACTAGAATCCATTTGGGAATGTGTGGAGTAAGGTTTAAATATTTTTTGTCTTTTCAGCCATTTAAAGTTTTGGCAACTGAAACCATAAATAGAAAGGCATTAGATGCAGATATATACAATGCAATTCCAACTGAAAAGGTGGATGGAACCTGCTGTTATGTAACAACATATAGAGGTACTATGGAAGATTTATATGCAGATGTCTCATGTTGATTAGTACCCAGCTTCTGTATGATTTTCTTTGTGTTGATTATTCATTTTTTCACATTCTTTTATCTGTGAAATTCAGATTCGTACATTAAAATACATGGCTTTGCTATAAAATGTGTAGTAACTGATACTCTGAGAATACTGTACATTTATAGAAGATCCACATGTCTGTAAAATTGTTCTGGATTTTCATATAGCTTGAGAAATCAAAGTCCAGGTAAAAATGATCTAGTTTAAATTAATCTGGTAGCCAAAGAAAACTATTCTTCCTGGCTATTCAGGTTGGAATTTTGTATTTCATTTTTTTTCTTAGAAAGTCTTATACATTTTATTTGCAGAGATGTGGAGGGAAAAGTGCAGTTAATTGAATATCTGACTAACCCTTGAAAAATTCCTCCAGTTTTAACCACCTACTAAAAGTATATTTTTAATGTGCATTTATCTGTGTTGTGGATTTTAAAATATATATTTCAATCAGTTTGTGAATTCTGTTAAGGTACTGTTCATAATGCTCTTGCTTGGGATGTCAAAATATTAACCATAGAATTATTATCTGTTATATCAGTTAGTTAACCGCAGGGGTGGGCTGTTGGCTCCCAGCTGCATCATGGTGGGGCCCCCGCTGGGGTAGAGTACCATGGTGTGAACGGGCAACTGCTCTGAGCAGGTTGGGCACCAGTTTACTGGTTATTGGTAAGTATCACCTGGAAAGGTGATGCCTCGACTGGGGAACCAGTTAACTGATTACCCATTTATACCCCTAGCTCTTACGTTTTCTGACAAGTGAGCAAATAATTTCATTTTAAACATATTGTGGTTTTTTTTTTACATGATTCCTTTTTTGGAAGCTGAAAGAAAAAGAATATTTATTGTTGCATATTTTACCTCTCATTTAAAACAGTCCATTTCAATGGCTGAAAACCTGTCTTTCATGCTGTTACCTAAATAAACTACTGTTTTTGTAATTCTGAAACCTGTAGGGCAGCCATATCTCTGGGCCAGGTTGGATAGAAAACCCAACAAACAAGCTGAGAAAAGGTTTAAAAAATTCTTGTATTCAATGGAAGACTCAAAAGGTTAGTCACATTTTTTTTCTCTTGTGATAACTGAAATATTTTTTAAGAGATAAGGACCTTTAGTTAAACAAACTAGTATTAAGTTGAAATATTAATGATTTGGCTCCAAAATTTTATTTCTTTGCAAGGGCTATGAGCATTTTACTTATCTGTGAACTATCATAATTTAGTCTAAATGGGCATTTGTTCTTCACTCTTGGCCAATATTAAATACTAAAACGGTTTCTGAGTGCAAGTCTCCATTGCTTTGTGGTATTTCTTTTGCTAGAATGGACGTTCATTGCTAGAAGAGAACATTTCTTATGAAGAATTTCCTTTCAGCTGCCTGCATTTCCTAGTATTCTAATGTCTGGAATTGTTGTCCTCTCTTTGCAGCTCTCAGAGGTAGATTGACGTTTTAGTGTTGCATGGTATGGCCACAGTGCTTCTACTAGCTTCTAGATGAGTTCTTCCCAAGATGGAAAAATTGTATAACTTCATAATTAAAATAATGTTCCAGATGTAATGGAATAGCTATGTACATTAAATCAAGGAATATGGTCACATGGTAATGATTACATGAAATATCTGACCCTTGACTCATGAACCATCTAGGAAAGGTAGAATTTTGGAGATGCTGCTATCAGAATAAGAAATTGTCAGAAAGAAGTTTTCCATTCTACAGCCTAGCATCTCCTATGGTGCTGGCCATCTGGAAAGTAGCAAACAGTGAACAGATTAAGGAAGGTTATGAAGGAAAAAATTGGTAGGAAAGAAATGCCCCACTTTTTGTGAGTCTGTTTATTTCTGGGCCACCTCTTGCAGCACCTTCCTGCCATAAGAAGCCTCTTGAAAAAATAGAAGATCCACATTGTAACGCTTAATGAAAGTATTGTGTGTAGATCAAGTGGCTGCTCTGCAGATTTTGGAAGTGGTTACAGTTCCTTGTACGTACCCATGAGGTTGTTAGGAACCTAATACATGAGGTTGTGTATTGGCTAAGAAATGTTATTGCTATTAAGAAATAAATGTTATGGATAAATAAAAGGCTAATGCTGAAGTCAAAGGCTTGTCAGGGTCTATAGAACTAGCAGGAAGTCCCATTTTGGGAAGAGTGGTCTGACTTCTGGTCAGGCTAATTAGACTGCTTGAGAGAATCTAGCTACTTATGGATAGTCTGTAGAGAGCCTGAGGATCCTTTGAATAAAATACTATTAAGAGCATATATCTAACACACAATGACCTACACTTCATGCTTTGCCACCATTCCAGAGGACATCCTTCGATGCTGATGACGCTTGTTAAAAATATAATGCACTAATTAAATTAGTGGCTGAAATTTAATTGGGGGAAAACTGCATGTCTGCTCCTGTTTTGCTCATATTCTTCCATATATTTCATGCTATAGCACTTAAATGATGACCCAGCCCATGTTGCCTGTTTTATGAACACTTTCACTGCAAAAAGCAAAGAAGGCACCAATGTGAGCTTTCTAAAGGTAACTACAGCACTCAACTCAAGGTTTAAGAATATGAAGTGCTTTCCAAAATCAGAGATACTGATTTCAGAAGTCTTAAAAGAGCAACACTCCAACGTAGAAACTATAGAGCCTGAACCACGATATAGAAAATAATTTTCTGCTGGTGCCATCTGATTCTGATGTTGGAAGATTAACTGATTTAGGGATGAGGAAGAATTAAGAGAAAAAAAGAACACACTTCCCTACGGGGCAGAGAAGGTAGAAAAGGCAATGCAAAAGAACCTGCCATTGTCTGTTACTCCAGAGGCAGAGAATCTGCCAGCAAGCAGGAACAGAGAGGGATCTGCCCATATTGTGTGGCTCTGTTTTTATGAGCTGCAGAGAGGAAAGCAGCCCTAAAGTCCTAATAGGCCAAATCATTTAAAATAAACAAAAAACAACAAAGGATTAGACATATGCTGGTATTTTTCTTGTCAGATTATTTGAATGTTTACTTTGAAAGACGGTAAGAATTAGCTAAAATTTTTGTCACAGAATACATATTTAACATTTTTATTTTTAGAATTTATTTGGAATATGGATGAAGACTTTAAACCTGTCCCAGAATGCTGGATTCCAGCTAAGGAAATCCAGCAATCCAGTGGGAATCCTTTACCCGATGAAAATGGACACATTCCAGGTATATGCCATACAGTCTGGTTTAAATGAAAAGGGAATTTTTCGCTACTTCTGACGTGGATTAGAATTAGGCCCAAAGTTAAAATACCCAGAGAAAAGGGCATGCTAAGTCAATGGTCACCAACCTATTGATTGCGATCAAGGGGTTAAATCACAGAGCCTCTGCCAGTCAGTAGTGATGCTCAGGTATGTTGTCTCTGCCTGTCTGGTCCAACACTGCTCCTGGAAGAGTCTGGCTGGCTGAGTGCAGACATGTCTCTGCAGCACTTGGGCCGGGGGGAGGGGTGTAATGAGGCAGTTCTGTGCAGTCCCCACCTCCAGCACTGCCCAAGCAGCTCCTTTTGGCTGGCACTTGTGTGTGCAGGCAGCAGTGCAGTACACAGAGATCCCATTCCCTCCCAGGGGCCACATACAGAGATATGCTTGCACTGAACCAGACGGCTGTTTCCAGGAGTGGCTTAGGACTGGGCAGGCAGAGACAGTTTGCTTGAATTCCATTGCACTGCTGACCAGGAGCTGCCTGGGGTAAGTGCCTCCTGGTTGCAGCCTACACCCCTATTCCATGAGCCAGTACCTAAACCCTCTCCCATAGCTCACATCTCTCACCCCACCCTGCACTTCAACTCTCTGCCCTAGCCTGGAGCCCCTTCATGCACCTAAAGTCCTTCAAAATATTGGGGTGCACAAGAGAGTGAGTGTGTGGGCTCTAGGCATGAGTTTGGGTGCAGGAGAGGGCTCCAGGCTGGTGAAAACTCACTCCCAGATCTTACACTCCTCTACCTCTGCACCCGAATACTCTGCCCCAGTCTGGAGCTCCTTTCTGCACCCAAAATCTCTCTGAGCCCACACTCTTCATCCCCTCCTGCACCCCAAACCCTTGACCTAGCCTGGAACTTTCTCTTGCATCCAAGCCCGACCCTAGACAGATGAAAGTGAGAGAGAAAGGGAGGAGGATAGAGTGGGTGGGAATTGGGGAATGAGTAGGGCATCATGGAAGGGGCGGGATAGATCCTGGTGGTCTTACAGTAAAAATTGATCTTGGGCATTAAAAGATTGGAGACAAGTGCATTAACTCAAAGCAGCACCAAACCCTGCCAGCACAGAACATCCAAAACTTGATGACATATCTCAGCTACTACAATGGTCAACACCTCCCACACCACACTTTTGAAGACTCATTGATATTACACGTTCATACTGCAAGATATGATGTATCTCATGTAGGGCACTAAATGCCCCAGTAAAAAACCATGGTTGGAACCAAACAATCTCTTGCTTTTCAATGTAATGTACTCAAATAGGAAAATGATTTAAAAAAACACACATCATTTATGGATGAACACTTTTCACAAAGTGATCAGTCTAACTTAGCAGTACCTCATCCTTCAGAAAAACCTGCACAACACTTTCAAAAGATGAACCTAGAAGCTTAAATGTATTACTGTGCTAGATACTAACAATATGTATTGAACAGACACACTGGTTTTATTGCTTATTACAAAACTAGTCCCCTCTGTTTGTCCTGATAAATAATTCTTCTGCCCTACTCTGGGCTGATTAGTAGCTTCAACTGGAGTATTGTGTCCTGTTCTGGACACCACATTTCAAGAAAGATGTGGAGAAATTGGAGAGGGACCAGAGAAGAGCAACAAAAATGATTAAAGCTTTAGAAAACATGACCTTTAAGGGAAGACTGAAAGAATTGGGTTTGTTTAGTTTGGAAAGGAGACCATTAAGAAGGGGACACAATAGCAGCTTTGAAGTACCTAAAATGATGTTAGAAGGAGAAGAGAGAAAAATTGTTCTTTGACGTCTGATGATAGAACAAGAAGTAATGGGCTTTAATTGCAGCAAGAAAGATTTAGGTTGGACTATAAGAAAATCTTCCAGTCAGGGTGGAGCCTCAGGTGAAGGAGGCCCCTCTTGGTGCCATTGCTCTTGGTTTGTGTGCTCTCCCACCTCCGCCTTCTCAGGAGAACACTACACCTAGAGGAACTGCCAGCCATTTTGAACAATTGGTAGATCCTAGATGCTGTGCACCCCTGGTGGGAGGAGGAGATTTTGCACACTCCCCTGCCCTCAGGCCAATCTGAGCCTGGGGAATGGGGGAAGCCCTTCCCCTCCCCCTCCAACCCTTCCAGGGTCGCACAGTGCCTAGAGGGAACCACCAGCCATTTTGAACATTTGGCGGCTCCTTCTAGGTGCCATGCGCCCCTAGAGGGAGGAGGAGACTTTGTGTGCTTCTCTGCCCCTGGGGTGGCCATGTGGCAGGATGACCATGGACCAGATCAAACAGCTTGCCAGGCTGGATTCAGCCCACAGGCCATATCTTGCCCAACCCTGATCTAGATGGTGCTTGGTCCTGCCTTGAAGACAGGAGACTGGACCCAATGTCCTCTTGAGGTCTCGCCCAGTTCTAGTATTCTATGATTCTATATGGTAGAGGTGTTAATGGTCCCTTAGAATATACTTATGCTAAAAAATCTGTTCCATCTTGAATTTTTTATGTGATGCTGGAAGTACTATTCCAGACTTTAAAAAAGCTGTATGTAAGTTCAAAAGCATGTCTCTCTCACCAACAGAAGTTGGTTTAATAGAAGATATTACCTCACTCACCTTTTCTCTCTAATATCCTGGGGCCCATAAGGCTACAACAACACTGGAGAGCTCTATATTCAGAAAGTCCATTCCTACCATGTCATTTACTCATTATTCAGTTGTGCTGTAGATTTTTCTTCCTTGTGGCATTTGGCTATAGTAAGTTGCAAAGCTTTGAGCCAAAAGACTCAGTTGTCCCTGTTTAACTACTCAGACACCTTTCTTTCACTTACAGTGTAACTTTGTCCCTGGCTTATGTTAATTTTCATTATAAAATATAGTTAGATAAAATATAACTGCTTTCTAATGCATGTATAGCTTTTAAAGTGCCTTGACAAAAAGTAAAATGGAATGTTTTCTTATAGGTTGGGTGCCAGTGGAGAAAAATAGCAAACAATATTGCTGGCATTCATCTGTTGTTAACTATGAGGCTGAAATAGCTCTTATATTGAAGTGCCAGGCTGATGATCCTGGACTCTTGGAGATCAGTTCTGTGCCATTATCAGACCTTTTGGAACAAACACTGGAACTCATTGGAACTAATATTAATGCAAATCCATATGGTGAGTATAGCATGTGTTGTTTAATTATCATTAATACCTTAAATATTTTAATGTGTTTTAATTGAGAGTGACAGGCACTGCATTTCTTTATTACAAAATAAGAGATCAGAATGGTTCCGCTAAGGTCCATGAATTAGAAGCAATTTGTGCATTGCCAAAAAGGCTTATTAACATAACTCTTTAAAAATGAAAATGAGGAGATAGTGTTACCCAAAGGGAGACTACAGAGATTTTCAGATACTTCAGTGGTTGGACGTTTCTGCACAATGAATACAATCTCTATCTCCTCCCAGCCTGCTGCACATAATTTAAAAGGGTTGTCGCTAAAATGCTTTTCTTCTCGTCCGTGCAAGATTAGCACTATATCTTCACTGCATTTTTACAACAGGGTAGATAAGTTGAGATAATAATGTAATTTTTTACGTCTCTAGCTAATCAAGCTAAATCCTATGCCTTCTACCTGGGTCAACCTTAATTAGCTACATTGAGGTAAAAACTACCTTAGCCTTGTCTCCACTATGATTTTACATCAAGATAGCTATCATAATGCAAAAACATACTTTTTTTAGTTAAGATATAACCTTCACTAGAAGGGATTTGTTAGAGGCCTCTTATTAAAAAGTCAGCAGCAAATCAATGAGGGTATGTCTACACTACCACCCTAGTTTGAACTAGGGTGGTAATGTAGGCAACCGGAGTTGCAAATGAAGCCTGGGATTTGAATTTCCTGGGCTTCATTTGCATATTGCTGGGCGCCGCCATTTTTAAACGTTCCACGAGGAGTAACGGTAGTTCGGAATAGGAAGCCTAGTCCGAACTACCTAGTCCGTGCCGCATGTAGCCGCACGGCACGGAGTCTGTACTAGTGGACATTTAAAAATGGTGGTGCCTGGCAATATGCAAATGAAGCCCAGGAAATTCAAATCCCAGGCTTCATTTGCAACTCCGGTTGCCTACATTACCACCCTAGTTCAAACTAGGGTGGTAGTGTAGACATACCCTCATTGATTTGCTGCTGACTTTTTAATAAGAGGCCTCTAACAAACAAAAAAAACCGCATTGGGTTGAAATGAACTGATGCTGCAGTGAAGTTGGCTGAATAACTTGGGCATATACTAGGGATGTGATTGTGTACACGTTTAAACAGTTACATTCAAGTGGCCCCCTCTACTCCTGTGCTGCTGCTCTGATACAGAAGAAGGCTACAACAGCACTTGGGAAACAAATATTAAATTGCACTTCACTGGAAATGCTTGTGATCTTTTGATCTCAGCTACCACAGGATTATCACATTCTTTTAACAAAATCAGTATTTTAAAATATCACTGTATGATAGCTTGTAGACTGGGACAATGCACAATGGAACTTATATCTTTTAATCCTGCCAGTCATTTTTGAATCTTTTATAATACAATTTAAAAATGAGCAGGTTAAATAAGCTTTGGAGTACAGGCAGTCCCTAGGTTACGTACAAGATAGGGACTGTAGGTTTGTTCTTAAGTTGAATCTGTATGTAAGTCGGAACTGGCGTCCAGATTCAGCCGCTGTTGAAACTGATCAGCGGCTGATTCCAGGAAGCCCGGGGCAGAG